AGATGGGGTTTCATGTGCTATGTACTGATATCAAACTTTAGGTTCATAGCTTTCAGCAATTTTTAAACATTTAGTTTTAAGGATCATCTGAAAAAATGTACAGAAATATCTAATTTCCGCAGGTTTTTGCTTACAAACTGAATTAAAAATTTTACTGTTTCAAGAACAAATCCAAATAAAGTTTATATTTTTTGTATTGTATACACTGAATTGAAAATATATTCATATTAGAAAACTAATTATGAATCACCACAAGCAAAATATGCAATTTTACTGAATTCGATAAGTAAAAATTGTGTAAAAAAGATTACAAAAATGGCTACTCAATGAATAAGATTTGTTAGATCATTTATTAGATCATAATTAATAAAAACAAAAAATAGATAGAAATGTATGCAACCCCATAATACTGCTGGGCACAAATTATAAGACAAAATATTTTAAATTTGCATTGTTTATTGAAAAATCACACTAAATCTATAACACTGTATAACATCATAATATAGCTAAATTGTTCTGTAAAATTTCCTTTTGAAGAAATTTCTCTTGTAAGAATAATTCCAAAAAAAGTTTATATCTATTGTATTAGATACATTAAACGGAAAAATTTATTCAAACCAGAATTCTGATTATGAACAAGAAAAATATTTTTTTTACTGTATTCAATAATAAAAACTGTGTAAATAAATGTAAAAGATTATAAAAATGGCTACTCAATGAATAAGATTTGTTAGATCATAATTAGTAAAAACGAAAAATAGATAAAAGTGTACATAACACCATAATGGCGCTGGGCACAAAATGTTTAAAATTTGCATCGTTTATTGAAAATCGCACAAAAACTATTACACCCTATGTGTGAGTCTAATAATAAATTCTCGATCAAATAATTTCAAATTTTAGCAAAAAGCGTAAAAACTAAGTTGACTGTGCAGGTTTATCTCAATGAGAACTTAAAAGAAAGCTGATCGGGGGTGCCAGTGATAATGACAATGTGCTGTTGAAATGGCCACCACGTTCATCTGACTTGAAATATTGTGATTTTTCTCTGTGATAGAACAGGTCTATATTCCCCCTCTTCCTACAATCTCAGAAGAAATTAAGCAGAGAATTACTGAAGCGCTGGAGAATGTTACGGAAGACATGCTACAGCGTGTCTGGCAGGAACTGGACTACCGACTTGACGTGTGTCGTTTCACAGAACATTTGTGAAGCTTTGTGAAATTTGTTAATAAATCTACATCACTTTGAATATTTTCTTTAAATTTCTAAATAAAATAAATAAATAATTTAATTTTGTTTGCCTGGGCCACATAGTTACTCAGATATTCACACATGATTTCAATTTATTATTACTTTAAAACTTATTTTGAGGGATACCCGTATTTAAGTAGAACGTTTCGATTTTTCTTTTGTTTTTTTTTTTGTTTTTTTGTTTTTTTTAAGACAGTGTTTATTTCGTCTTCCGACCAGCGCTTTCGAAAAATCATAGCAAAGAAAATATTCCGAAAAGGTTCGAACCTGTATCCCGTTTCGTAGGAGGAGCCACGAAGACTGAATTTAAGACTGAATTAAATCATGAAACAGACTGTCACCATTCTTATGTTTACACACGCTCTCTACCT